ATGGGATATGTCCGAGCAAAAACAGGTTTGATCGGACAATTTGACCGGCGCCAGCCGGGAAATTATTTGCAGCCCTGCATATCACTAAGGATATGTGTTTCCCAGGTGCCGGAACACATATCACTGGAGATATGTGTTTCCCAAGTAGGGGAACACATATCACCAGGGATACATGTTTCCCAGGTTGGGAAACACATATCACCAGGGATATGTGTTTCCCAGGTAGGGGAACACATATCACTAGGGATACGTGTTTCCCAGGTGCCGGAACACATATCACTAGAGATACGTCTTTCTCAGGTAAGGGGAACACATATCACTAGGGATATGTGTTTCCCAGGTAGGGGAACACATATCACTAGGGATATGTGTTTCCCAGGTGGGGGAACACATATCACTAGGGACACATGTTTCCCAGGTGGAGGAACACATATCACTAGAGATATGTGTTTCCCAGGTAGGGGAACACATATCACTAGGGATATGTGTGTTTCCCAGGTAAGGGAACACATATCACTAGGGATATGTGTTTCCCAGGTGCCGGAACACATATCACTAGAGAAACATGTTTCCTAGGTGGGGGAACACTTATCACTAGTGATATGTGTTTCCCAGGTGGGGGAACACATATCACTAGGGATACGTGTTTCCCAGGTGCCGGAACACATATCACTAGAGATATGTGTTTCCCAAGTAGGGGAACACATATCACCAGGGATACATGGTGTTTCCCAGGTGTCGGAACACATATCACTAGAGATACGTCTTTCCCAGGTAGTGGAACACATATCACTAGGGATATGTGTTTCCCAGGTAGGGGAACATAAATCACTAGGGATACGTGTTTCCCAGGAGGGAAAACACATATCACTAGGGATATGTGTTTCCCAGGAAGAGGAACATAAATCACTAGGGATATGCATTTCCCAGATGGGGGAACACATATCACTGGGGATATGTGTTTCCCAGGTGGGGGAACACACATCACTAGGGATATGCGTTTCCCAGGTGGGGGAACACATATCACTAGGGATACATGTTTCCCAGGTGGGGGAACACATATCAGTAGAGATACGTGTTTCCCAGCTAGGAGAACACATATCTCTAGGAATACCTGTTTCTCACGTAGGGGAACACATATCACTAGGGATATGTGTTTCCCAGGTAGGGGAACACATGTCACTAGGGATATGCGTTTCCCAGGTGGGGGAACACATATCACTAGGGAGGGATACACGTTTCCCAGGTAGGGGAACACATATCACTAGGGATATGTGTTTCCCAGGGAGGGGAACACATATCACTAGGGATATGCATTTCCCAGGTGGGGGAACACATATCACTAGGGATACATGTTTCCCAGGTAGCGGAACACATATCACTAGGCATATGCATTTCCCAGGTGGGGAACACATATCACTAGGGATACGTGTGCGCCGGTCCCGGCTTATTTTGACAACCCTGTGCATGTGGGAAGGTATGTCTGGGAATGCTGTCAAAGGCAGGTGGTGAGGAGGTTACAAAAAAAACTCCTAGTACCTGAACTCCTTTCATAATAGTGTCTTCAAAGTTGTTGGTCATAACAGGTAGCACATCTGCCACTTCAAACAATGAAGACTTCTTCTTCTGTGAACAAAAATCATAATGTTTCACACAATTTCTTTAAATTTTTTTTTAGCCAAACATACTACATATGTATATCCTAACAGCACTCGTGCAGTGAAGATAACAACACGTCTGAAATAATATTATTAAAAGTGAACGATGACATGGTGTATTCCAAGCCCATTAGGTGACAATAAGATCATAATCCTTCTGTCCCAGTAGTCCTAATGATGGATAGTAAGATTTACAGTCTGAGTAAATCTACATTGTATATAACTAATATCTCGCAAATTTTGCAATTAATGTTTATGTGGCACTACTCTTGACTGCTGGGTAATGATTTAAATGGTGGATAGCAGTACGCCTTGATCTTTTATCAAATTCTCTCAACTTATTCTTGAAGGAAATGTATAGAGATCAGTTTGGAGAATTTGTATGTGGATATTGGGGCTTAAAGGGTTAAGGTACATAAGAACACTCAACTGCAATTTAAGTTTGAGCTACAATATATCCACCTTTTCAATATCAAATGCCTGACCTATTCCTTTAAGATCTTGTCCCTCTTAAAGTGAACTTCAAGAAGAAATGCTATACTAGCTCTTCTAGGTGAAAATCTGATAGGTTGTATTTGTTGGTTTTGGTTTCTTTACTTTTGTTTTTGTGCTTTTAGTTTTGTTTTTTTGTTAGTTGGTTGTTTTTTTCTGACGGTCATGACAAGGATAAAACCTTGCATTCATTTGATGGATGGTGGGAAGGGGTTGACAAGAGGACTAAAAACTTAATATACCACAATACGCATTGAATGTTTTCCTTTCCTTTAACAGAAGTCATGAGAAGGAAATAAATTCACCCATAACTTTATCAATTGACTGAAGAACAGCAACATCTTATATGGTCGAAACTAAGAAGTTGACAGTCCAATCACATTCAGCACTGAGGTCGAGAATGCACAAAATGCATATGTTTCAGGACCACCAACAGCCTCTGGTAATCATGGTTGAATTTGACCTGTTACCCCCCAACCTGGGTAACCCCAGGGACAAGTCCAGCCCATCGGGACTGGGGTTAGCAAATTGTTTGAAGACGTCTTGTGCTGTGGGCAGGGGGCGGGGAAAATCAAAAATAACTTCTCTCTCACGTGGTTAAGATGATGGCGGTGGACCCCAAGAAAGCTTATTTTGAATGGAAAACACAGGAATTTATCAGAAAGTGGTTGGACAAAGATAAGCTTTTCAGATTAAAATCTTGAAGGTATGCTTATCATAAATTTCAAACAAATTTGCCTAGGATGCACACTTGAATGGATGGCTAGATCTCTTCAAACACAGAAATTTTCCTTCACCCTATTCATCTGTATAAGCTTGATAAGACAAATAAAACTTTCTTATCCTATTCTGTCTGTTGCTCATTATTTCAAGGAAGCACTTCTTATTGTTTTTCAATTTAGTAATTCATGTTTTAACCATGTTTTACACGTATCATCCTACTTTTCTGGAAAACATTGATAAACACTCTAGTAAAAACATTTCATTTTGCCATTTCATGGAAATCAATATGAACTAACCAGGGCAGGGCCCAGTTCTTTGAAGGCCAATTAACAACAACTTAGAGTTAAATTTTCAACCAGGTTCCTTTTTCTTTTGTTTAAAAGCATTTTATAGGATAATTTTCTCGGTTATTTTTAGTGGATCCAATCATCAAATATCTTAACTCAGCTTTGAGCAACCCGGCCCTGGAGTATGCACGTGGGGGGAGGGGGTGATGTAAACAGGTCAAATGCATGAGACAAGTCTAGCAACGTTTGAGTTCTTTACCTTAAATGAGCGCTACAAGATATCACCACCTTTAAACAGCTTCCTGTTATAGGCGATACCCAGTTTCACTTAACTAACAATCAAATGCAAATTACCTTATCCTTGAAAACAACAGCCATGTAAATTTTGAAGTCAAATTGATCCGCCAATGATTCCCGCTTTCTGCGGAGTGCCGAGCGTAAACGATTAAGTGTTGCAGATTTTCTCGAGGCAGGATCAGCCATTACGGACTTAACAAACTTTCCAGGGTTAAGAATTCAAAAACAAATCTTTTTGTTAAGGTTTTTAGACTTTTCTAAGCTTCAGAAATGGCCGGCCGGTTGAAACGGTTGGTTTCACTGGCTACTTTCTCAAGAAATACAAACAAAATTAGACCAAAAGTTCATGAATATCATTTCACATGATCTAAAAGTTTCATTTTCGCCATTCTGATCGTCCCTACAGCGACCTGATTTCGTAAAATTCATGAAAGATTCTGTACTCGATCGTTCTCTACAAAACTTGCCCTTCTTCTCTCCCGATAAAAATATGGCGTCCAATGACGTCAGGAGCCTCGCTTTGAGTTTGTATACATTCTTTAAATGCCTTAAGATCACAGCCCCCTGGTAAACATGGCGGACAATTTTTGGAAGGTACCCATCTTCATCTTCGTGTCCTTTTGCATTTTCCTCTTCATCATTCTGGTGGTGCAGGCTTTCATGCTTTTCAAGAAGCTGATGCCAAAGTCAAATCGGAGATTACGTGATGGAGTTGTTCTTCTTCATCAAATGCCTCCAAATAACCGAGTTTTAAATGTTTCTCCACCATCTTTAAAGTTAGAAACTTATTTGAGAATGTGTAATATTCCTTATGAGAGCGAATACAGCTTTAAGACGTCAACCAAAGGTAAAGTTCCGTGGATAGAATACAATGGTAGATCGGTGGCGGATTCTAATTTCATTGTGCGTTTTCTCAACGAAGAGTTTAAAGCTGACCCTGATGCTCATTTGAGCGTTGTCGAAAAAGCCATCGCCCACACCATGATCGTAACACTTGAGGAAAATACCTATTGGTAAGCACTCTTGTTGCTTATTTTGTCAATCAACATACAGTAACTGACGCACATTATTTTGTTTTATTTTTTTTTTGGAAAGTTCTCCTGGCCCAGAGTTGGACAGGGTTTCAGGGGGTGTGTCAACCTGTGTTGGGGATGCGGAATGAACATGACTTCATGAGGCTAATAAACCTCTTGGCTTCCTTGAAACAGAGCTACCTAAAATCATACAACAATACTATATCTGTCCAAGATGAATCGAAGAAAGGGTTCTGGATTTGTACCCAGTCCTTATAAGGTCACTGAAAATTCAAAGTGGGTGGGGGCATAACAGAAAGAACCTTAACTAAATTTTCAAGAGGAGTCTGGTGGGTTCAAACCATTAAGTCCTCTATGGTGGGAGGATGGATATTATCTGTATCAACACAATGCTGTTCAGCTGTACTTTTGCTAACCTATGTATTAGTTGCTGGTATTTTTAGGGTACAGCGAGAAATTTCAAAGACCAGTGCAGGCACAAGAGGAGAATATAGGAGAGGAGGCCCCTCTGCATGTTCCCCTTGCCTGTTTTATATAAACTAACCAGAAAAATAACAGCTGCTTGCTATGCATGCTTTACTTTTGCCAGGTAACTATGGCTGGCAGAGCCTGACATGTACCTGTCTTTAGGGGCGCCTAATATATTACTTATACTCACTGTGAAGTTGATTAAGACGGAATCCACCAGAAAACTGAATAATGTTAATTTTCAGTGGACAAAAACCTTGTACCAGGATATTTTAAGCCACATTGCATTCTTTTTACACTTTTCAGGAGTTGTAGATATAATTATAGTTTTAATAACTCAATTTCCTGATGGATTCCATCTTAATAATAATTCATTGTCTCTATAACTTCTTTTCTGTTCTCCATTCAATTCAAAGGACGGTGATGTATCATATCATTGAGGTTGATCTTGCCGATACAAAAACAATGTCACCTTTGCTCAGCGTGACACCTTATCCCCTCAAATATGTTGCGTCTTGGATGTTTTATCGTGCCTTGAAAAACTACCTATGGAGTCATGGGATTGGCCGACACACCAGGGAGGAGATTTATAGCATTGCAGAGAATGACCTGAGAGCTGCTTCAGAGTTGTTAGGGAAGAAAAAGTATATCATGGGCACCAAACCTTGCCTGTTGGATGCTGTGTTGTTTGGATTAGTTTCAGTTCTCATCTGGAATATTCCTACGAGCCCTCAGGCCAATCTGATCCGATCAGAATTGAAGAACTTGGAAAGACATTGTTACAACATAAAAGAGGAATATTTTCCAGACTGGGATCAGCTTATTCTTAAACACAAAATCTCTTAATAATAGACTGGGTTACCATGGAGATCACAGCAATATTACTGAAGGCTATTCATTTAAAACTTGTTTTCTATTAAAATAAAAAAAATGGATTTTGAGTTTTTGTATTGACATGTAAAGGACGGGCTATTTCTGAACTGTTTCTGATAGCAGTTCATCAATATTCACTTGTACCTCAACATCTCTGCCATTAAAAGCCTTCATCAAGGCAACCATATTGAAATTTGTGAGCGAGACTAAGTTTAATACAAATGAAGTTTTTGTGATGCTCTGATTGGTTCTTTGTTTTGTCTTTACATTGAAGCTCTTTACCTGCAAAACCATTAGGGAAAGTTCATTTAATATGACAAGGGGGGGGGGATGAAGATATTGAAACTCGAAGCTTGAAATTTTAGCAGCCCCCCTCGCTAGCGGTTCAATTTTTTAGGAGCCCCCTCCTTGATAGTCGAAAAAATTTCAGAGCCCCCCCCCCTCCTCCTTCCATTCCTTTGCTCCCCTGAAAAAAGATCACTAGACTGTGTTAAATATATTTACCGTTATTGTCTTCAATGGTTTATACTATGACAAACTTGAGATACAGTTGTGATACAATTTTCTAAAGCATTTTTAGGATGAACAAGAGTGTAATAATTACTATACTGAGACTACATTTGTTATATCTGTAAACCACGTGATATAGCTGAGTTGCACAGGTCATTAAATTGTTGAGTTGAAAACCATCCGATCTGTATGATGATGTCATATGTTGGTTTTGAGGTATACAAATTTTCGGAGCCCCCCCTCCAAGCGCAACAATTTTTTCAGAGCCCCCCTTCGGGTGTCTAAAAATTTTCGGAGCCCCCCCTCAATATCTTCATCCTCCCCCCCCCTTGTCATATTAAATGAACTTTCCCTTATGTTACCAGAAACAACATAATGTTTTTATGTTGCTAATATTTCGTCATCTGTACATATTGTCATTTGCACCAACAAAACAACAACTTTCTTATGTTGTTTGTTTATGTCTTTTAATGTCATTTATATAAGGCATTCACTGTACATGTGAACCAAGCTTAAGGCCTAGCTAAAATACCATTCAAATCGTAGGTTTACAGTCTCAGTTATAACATCTTACTTTATGCGTAAATTAAAATATCTATTATATGTCTCTTGCATTTTGGAGGTTTTTTCAGCCAATCAAAAGTTAGGTCTAAGGTGCTTTGAGTACATTTTGTACATACAAATAGAATAGTATAATTGCTTTGATAACAAAATGCTTGATTCTGATTGGTTTTTAACATCCAATATTAATAGATTTATTTTGCTACAAAATTTGCAAAACTTTCAGAATACCAGAGGCTTGTAATCTGGCGGTTAACAGGCCAATAAAAATAGCAAATGTGACAAGCCAATCAAATTCAACTATGTAATTCATGATAACAAACCAAAATCAGTGAAAACTTAGAAGAGATGGACAAAACCAAAATATTGACACATTAGGGATTAGCCCTACCATCCTTGTGTAACAAGTTTTCGACAAGAAGCCAGGTGCATACTAGAAATACTAGGAATAAAGATAAACATCATATATCATCTTTTAAATCAGCAACAGGTCAGCGATCTTTCTCATATCTGTTCAGCTCTGGAATGACCTTCCAGAAAGTTTAGCAAACATAGAGTCATCTAATGTTTTTAAGAATGCGATTAAAGGACGTGCACCTGCGAGTTTTTAAGCCATTGACGCTCAATAGGTGTAATCATGCATGTTTTATATTTTGAAAATAATATGGTAATGTTTTATCACTTTCAAATGTTTATTTTATATTTCTATTGTTCATTTTACTTGGATGTACCAATAAAGTTGATTGATTGATTGATTGATTGATTTAATTTTAAAACAGTACATTTTGTTGGGCCTCCATACTCTGATTTCACCAAAAGTTGTAAGCGATGTTTTGCTTTGGAAGCTGTAACTTGAAGTAATAAAAACTTTGTACTAAAATCAATAAAATATACTTCTTAAACAGAGATTTTCACATTTTGTTATTGAGACATTGATATTAATAACATTTGGTAATTAACTACTCCCTGAATAATTATTATACTCCACTCAGTGCTATTACCAAATTACATATTTCAGTTATTTCTCTCGAAGTTTGTTTATTACTTATATTCTCAAAAAAAACCCTTTTGCTCCTAGTCTTGTTCCTTTTTTAGAGTCTACTGTTATTTTACTTAAACAATGTTTGCCATCCTCTAATTAGCCCCACCTAAAAAGCACTGTACAGAACACTACAATAAAATACTACTAACTCCATCCTGAAATAAGTACAAAACTACCCTTGAAGAATACACAATACATAATACACATTACAAGCTTTGAATTCAAGAGTGGTTCTTATAATATAAAAATATTGAAGCACTGCCAGAACTGGACTTGCTACAAGTCGACCTCTTGGCGAGTGGAGCGAGCCATCTTTGGCCGCGAAGCAGCCGACTGCGAGCGACGAAGTCGCGGGAGGTCATAAGAAATCCGACGAAGGACTTTTGGAAAGTCTATGCTAGAACCTGAATAAATAAAAATTCTTGTCAACTGCAAGAATAAAAACTCGTAAAGTTTTCCATGTAAGCAAAGTGTCTTCATCATGATACAATACAGCTGCGCCGCACTTCTTGAAAGAGACAGTGACATTTTAGCAGAGTTTTTGTCATTCCTTTTGCTCATATGCATAGTTTTTGAGATAAAGTTATCAGTAAATAAATAAGCACTGCCATCTTCACATAATTACTGCATTGAAAAGAAATGAATAGGTGCTACAGCAGCTAAAATACAGTAACTAGTGTAGTGTCCCAACAATGTCCTTCAAGGGATAAAACTGAAAGTATACGTCTCATAGAGTTCATAGCGACATGATACATGCATAATTATACCGATTTGTTTTCTTACAATGCTACTTAGAGAGATCTCAGTACATTGTGCCAGTATTCAGCTGCCTTGGTAAGTTGTGCCAGTATTCGCTAGAGATCTTGAAGGAGAGTCTATAGGCAGTAAGCTGCAGTTGAACAAACATGTGAATAACATCTGCACATAGGCGTACGGGCCGGGGGGGCGAGGGGGGCTGCAGCCCCCCCCCAAATTTTGGACGACTCAGATTTTTTGGGCAGCAAGAGAAAATTTGGGCAAAGCCAGTTTTTAAAGACGTTTCCATGTTTTTCTATTACTCTAAAGAGACAAATATTTTCTATTTTAATCTGAAAAATCCTGAAGTCAGCGTAATAATCCAGTTACATTCTCTCGAGACACTCACAGTGGTTGCCTAGCGCGTGATGAGTTCCTGGTTATAGGGAAGGTTATCATTTGTTGATTTACATATTTATAGTTTTTTATTGGTGAGCACTGTACTGCACTGCACTGACTGGAATGGGCTCTTTCCAGTCGTGAATTGATTAGAATAAATTTCCGCATATCTTTCTAGAATCATCTCAGCAACAGTGGGTCTGAAAATGAAGAAGTGGCTGACTAGTAATCCGCTCGAATTACGAGAAGAGAATATTAATTTTTTTTAAAAATCTATCAAGCAATAATTTATTAAAGTAGACCGAAATGTTTACAAAACCGCTAACAAGAGCGCCTCAATACTAATGAAATCCTTCTCTCTAGCAATCGGCCGGAGCCATATCCATGATCATATCTTTTACACACGTTTTTAAAAAGATTGAAGCTACTATGAGGTGAAATTGCATGTCAAAAGAGCTTCGTTTTCTACAAATAACAGCCAACATCAAGATTTTTTTCCCCATATTTTTAATGATAAAACCTTCATCCCAAAATATCCCAATAACGCTCCTATAGATTCCGTCTTAACTTCACGAACATCGAGGCGACTATTGGAGAAAAAAGTTCCCGTGAACAATTTTGTAGGAATAGTTCCCAATGCCGAGAAATAATGCTGCAAGTAAAATAGACAATGGCGTCATTTCGTTGCTATGACAATTCCGATGTCATTAAAACCCTGCTCATGATAAATTTTCATCTTTATCTAATAAAACTATGGTAGCAGTTTTTCCAAATGTTTGTCTATGGCGACGTAGTTATTCTCAAAATTGGGAGGTATTGACCTTTATATGCCAGTACGGCCTACGTTATTGCATCGTATCGCCCTCGTTTCTTTTCTACTGTTTCGTAAAAATTTGGGCAACTTGGGAGAATTTTTTGGGCAAATGGCTTAACGCCCCCCCTGACAAAAAATTGCCCGTACGCCTATGCATCTGCAAGACAGGCTCGTTTGCCATTAAGAACATGGGAGGTAAAATTCACAGAATAAAATTAATGATTTCAGTCGAAATCGGACTGTGAAAGGACAATTCATGTCTTTGTTACATCCAAACTTGGTTATTCTTTAGAGAGTTATAAACTTTATGTTGTAAGAGCATTGAGTCTTAATTGTAAGACTGAGTATTTCCCTTGTGTTATTCAGTTAATTTGAAGCAGCAATTTTAACTTAAGTCAATTCGGTGATCATTTCACAGTCACTGAGATGCCTCACATTATGTAACCCAGCCTCCTTTAGCTCCTCTATTTCTGTGGGGTGAAAAATATAAGATCTTGACCACTTGAAGTATAGGGCCCATTTTACAGCCAAGAAGACACCGCCAGTTATGGACACCTGTAAAGCATTCGATGTCATTTAACTAGGGTAGTACACAAGTTTTTAACAATAGTAGGCAAATAAAATTGCCATAGACAACAATGGACCTTTTTAGCTAGTAGGTTTTATTTTCCCACATCTTTTCATTAGATATGCACACAAAGCCAAGAGGAATGTGATCGGTTGAGGCCCTCTTGTGGTTCGTTACATGTAACGTCAGGAGTTAGCCTCCCACGCACACGTTCTTAGGGGTTCATCACGCATTCCTACCCCTCGTGGGGCAGAAACGCGTGACGAACCCCTAAGAACATCTGCATGGGAGGCTAGTCCCGAGTCTGAATCTCACAGTATTTCACGATTGTATTTCTGATTGTCCTTGTCGCTGTCGTAGTTTCAACCCATCCTCCTGTCATTTTTTGCCATTATTTTCATCTGTCTTTAATACATGTATGTCACTGTTTCAAGGCCATGTTGCTGGCCTCAATAGCATGACAGTCGCATGTAAAAGAAAAGTTCTCTGTCATAAAATCTCATGGTCTGCAATGGGAAAAGAAAACAAAAAAGCTAAAAAGGTCTATTGACTGGTTACCAAACTAGACCCCCAACACTTCAAACAAGCTGTTCCGTTGAGTTTTCCACTCTCATAAACTGGTTTCGGTTCAGGTAAGCCATCTTTCAAGACATCTTCAGATGTAGGTTCTTTCAAAATACAGCAGACCTTTCTCCCTTGATATTCACATTTTGCCTTCAAAACTACATAACCGCGGCTCTTTCCTGTAGTATTATCAATAGGTAACATTGACTGAAACAACAGATCAAGAGGTACCCAGTGGGGAGGGTATTTAAACCTTGCCGTATCAAAAATGAGTACAGAGTTAGTTTCAACATCCAATGCAGCAATGGGGCTAAAATGACCATCTCCAGTTTGTCCAAGTGTCTTCCTTGAATATGATATTGCCATGAATTCCTCAGGGTTTTCTTCATCGAAATTTTTCTCCCGATCGCTTTGTTTCAGTCGTCCACCGGTACAAACACGATGAACGGTTTGGATAAATTCCTCGTACTGTTCTTTAGAATCAACTGGCCGAACAAGGCTTGCACTAGCGCCATTACAATCTGCCAAGCAAGCAAATTCGTCCAAAGTGATCCCCGAAACTTTCATGTCCTCTAAAGGGCGACAACATTCCAACAGCTCTTCTGAATACCACCGCCAAATTGTTTTCCAAACACGCTGAGGGTCGATGCGAAGTGAGTTCAGAATGATCGCCAAAGTACTTAACCCACAAAAGGCGGGCTCGGCCTGAGTATTAAAACATGATGACAAAGCTAAGTAAGGTACAGCAAGGCCTGATTGCAAAGAACGACAAAGGCGATTTTTGGACTCTGTAGACCGATAATCAACCAACTTCGAAGGCAGTGACCTCCCGTAGAAAGTTTGAGACGCCATTTCGCTTAGTGGCCAAGCCTTTCACTTCTTCTTCCGGGCAGACTGGAAACCGTCGCAGGATTAGGTTGTGGGAGAAACATTTTTGATAGAGTACACGAGGGATAGCCCACGTTCGATATAGTAATCCAATATATCACAACTGGAGCATTGAACACAAAGAAAATCTCGGAGCCATGTCAGAAGTTTAATATATCGAACGTGGGCTATTTAACAATTATCGGGCAGTCCTAAAACATGGAATCCAAATTCCTGAAACGGAATCACAGAAAGGGGAACGTAAAAGGAATACGGAATCAAATATCAATGATGGGTAAAAATAGTATTTCACATACAGTACCACGATTTAAGTGCGATCCAAAGATAATTTGTTGTAGTCGTCATGTCTTTGCAGTTCCCTTTACTGTATTCTTGTCATTATAAATGTGTCACCTATAGGGAAATATTACCGACTAGGTCCAATATGGGTGTGCCACAGATTCAATAAAAACGCAAAAATATCGCCAATATCCAGCCACCTTGACCGAACAAGCTTAGTCAATAAAGGATTTATTTTGTGGCCAAAAAAGAAACTTTTTCTCGCGGGACCAAAGTGGGATATCTTGGGTGACCGGGCAAGATGGGCTCTACGAGGAATGACTATAATCAGGTGGACACTTCATATTTGTTACACAACTTTACCCTCCTCGAAAAGAAGAATTTTTCCGAATTTATTGGGCACCTTTTTGAGAAAATTAGGGAAGTCAGAGCAAGAAACAGTTGCCAAGGAAAAGAGTTGTATGATATAGGTTTACCCCCAAAGTACAATGATTAGGGCTAAGCACTCTTTTAAAAATGGTTAACTTTCAAATAGCAATGATCAATGCCATGTAGCGTACGTCAAAGGTAACTGGTGTGGGCAGTTAGCCCTTGATGGTGTTGCCGGGATACGGATTTGGATTATAAGTTAAATTATGCGGATTCAAGTCCTAAAAACTCTGCTTTTTTCCGTTTTCGTTCTTCTCTTATTAACTACTTTAAGTTACAAGACTCCTTTCATGTATTCAGTTGAGAAAAGATTTCAATCTGACTTTGGGGTATCATTCCAATCTCAACCTTAATGCAGGGGGGGGAGGGTGGTAACTCCCATACTGGCCTACACAAGGCAACCCTCTCCACGGAAGGGGTCATTTTAGGCTTGGGGTATACAAAAGGGTACGCATTTCACATGGAAAGGTAGGGAAATGTGCAATCATTAGGTTTTCAAAATGACGACGACGCGCAAACCGACTAGAGCACTAACAGATTGAGAACAAGTCAAAAGTTGAGCACAAGAAGTTGTCTTCAGTACTTTCCGCCCGCTCTGGCACTTTCATTTCACTTTGCATTATCTGTGCAAAAGTCTGCCCGTTGAAAGAGTACGGCGCGATCCTTTGCTTAGGCTGTGCTAAACACGCTCACACTTGATTTAATGACAATTCATGCTTTTATTGAGCATTTAACACACATTTTCTGACAAAATGACAGCAGCTCATCTTCTAGTATTCGTCTCCGTCATCATCCTCGCCTTCATCAGCTGCAGAATCCACGCCAACTTCCTCGTAATCCTTCTCCAGTGCAGCCAAATCTTCACGAGCCTCAGAGAACTCTCCTTCCTCCATACCCTCACCAACATACCAGTGGACAAAAGCACGCTTGGCATACATCAGATCAAACTTGTGATCCAGACGGGCCCAGGCCTCAGCAATAGCTGTGGTGTTACTCAACATACAAACAGCACGCTGAACCTTGGCCAAGTCACCACCAGGAACAACTGTGGGAGGCTGGTAGTTGATGCCCACCTAAAAAATGTGAGATCAGTCGAGCTAGAGAGTTGATTACACGACCATTTCCCTAGCTTCTCTTTTTTTAAGGTTTGAAAACTAATAACATGCGCGAAAACATGGAAGAACTGCTTGTACTGAATTTAATCAAAATTTTTAAGGCAGTTACACGAACCTTGAAGCCAGTAGGGCACCAGTCCACAAACTGAATGGTTCTCTTGGTCTTGATTGTCGCTATGGCTGCATTCACATCCTTAGGTACTACATCACCACGGTACAGCAGACAGCAAGCCATATATTTGCCATGACGTGGGTCACATTTCACCATCTGATTGGCTGGCTCAAAACAGGCATTGGTGATTTCAGAGACACTCAACTGTTCATGGTAGGCTTTTTCAGCAGAGATAACTGGAGCGTAAGTGGCCAGTGGGAAGTGAATACGTGGATATGGAACCAAGTTAGTCTGCATAAAAAAGGTAAGCGATACATTAACCCAAGGAAGGATAAACCGCTTAATCTGACATTTGAGAAAATTGCAAATTCGGTTGTACAATGAATAAAAAATAAATGAATGATCTTCTCTCAATAGTATTAGGTTGAACCTGGGAAAATCCTATTAAAAAGTATTTTAAAAGGACGATAGCAATGTTTACACTGAGGAGTTAAGCCAAGATTTCAATCAACCGTCTTCGCATGATCAGTCAGGATACTGTTCGCGGTCGACTCCTTATTAGCAGAGTAAATGCCCCTATGTGCCTTTGCCATTCAGGGTGTCATGACAATCTCGAAACGTCATTGAACTTATGCGCTTACGCATTATCTGTTTGATAACTTTTTAATAGAAATAGAATTGGGAAATTCGAATTATACAATCGTAGTCAAGCATCCTGAGCACTCACTCTTCCGTGCTCCCTCAGTTTCAGTGCCAGAGAACCCGTAAAGAGATAGAAAGTGTTAATTAAATGGTTAACATAGTTAAGATATAAGCTTGCCAACAATAGAAGCAGGAACGGCATCACCTATTGAGTGAATCAGCGATATGAAAGAACGATGATACATGCAGCTTGAAAACGTTGGCCTAACTTTTTCCAGTTGGAGTTAGTTCTTCTCCTTGTCTTTGTTTGTGAAGAAAAGCCAACCGTTAATAGTAAATAGTTTCATTGCACTTAAGTTTGCTTGTTAGTTGACAATGGTGTTCACTCCCACTACATCTTGAAGGATTACATTTATTTTGTGATGTTTCCTTTAGTCACACATGCATGTGAGCCGTTCTGTTGGTACCTGGGCACGTCGTTTTCGCCGCGCGTTTCCGTCAAATCGTTGGTCTTTCAATGAAATCCAGTTGCAAAGACAATTTTTGCGTGATAAAGCCACTACCGAGTTTGTACAACCACGACAACGACGGAAGAAACGAGGCAATGAAAATAAGACAGGTTTAGTTAAGCAAAACAAAAACTGCCGAATGTGCAACACACCTTTAGGCATATATTTCTTTGCCGTTTTCGCACGACTAACGTTGTCAAACTTGGTCGGAATGGCAATTCGATCGTCGCTTTAATCTCGAGGATCGTCGTTTCATAAATAGCGATCGTTGCAAGTTAAATTCCGTCGAAGTACTGTCAACTCTCGCCTTGCGGACACCCAGCTATAATAACGGACACCACGATAAAACGGACAGTACCTAAGTCCCCGGCAAAAACAAATTACAGACGTTTGACTGAAGTAGACTCCCACTATTATGGACTATCGCTAAAGAGGACGCTAAGTCGAGCTCCCAGTGTCCGCTATAAAGGGAGTTGGCTGTACCCATACAGGGTTTTATCAAGAGCCATATGGCTCGTGGTTTTATATGTTCTTTCATCACATGGTACAATTAGCATGTTTTCAATTAGTATTGCAAACAGTTGTTAAATCGACTTCCTAATGATGAACAGCTACTACATCAAGATATTCGTTTGTGGGTGCAAAAATTAGTTATAGTGAATTTTCATCCTTGCAAAGGCATTTTTACGTTAGTTCATATCTCGCGTGACAGTCCCACCCTAACCACGATATGTCAGACGATTCAAAAGGCCTCGAGAAATGTTCTCAATAGGATCACAAAATCATTCACAGAACAAGCCGATTCTATCTGTCGATTCTGGTTTCTCGAAAGAGCTTGCAACACTAAAATGCACCTTACCTGGAACTCAGTCAAGTCAACGTTCAGTGCACCATCAAAGCGCAGTGAAGCAGTGATGGAGGATACGATCTGACCAATCAGACGGTTCAGGTTGGTGTAACTTGGCCTTTCTATGTCCAAGTTACGACGACAGATGTCATAAATAGCTTCATTATCCACCATAAAGGCACAGTCAGAATGTTCCAAGGTGGTGTGAGTGGTCAGAATGGAATTGTAAGGTTCAACCACTGCTGTTGCAACTTGCGGTGCTGGGTAGATAGAGAACTCCAGTTTGGATTTCTTGCCATAGTCAACAGACAGACGTTCCAAAAGGAGAGAGGTAAAGCCCGATCCAGTACCTCCACCAAAAGAGTGGAAAACAAGGAATCCCTGCAAGCCTGTGCATTGGTCTGCCTGTGATATAAAACAGGGAACTAACTTTCAAAATGCTTAAAGGAATCATTTAATTCCAATACACAGAAAAACTGACAGAAGTTTGCACTGAACTAAACAATATCTCTATATACATCTTCTTGAATACCTACCAGCTTTCTAATCCTGTCCAAAACCTGATCGATCATTTCCTTTCCAACAGTGTAGTGCCCACGAGCATAGTTGTTAGCGGCATCTTCTTTGCCAGTTATCAACTGTTCTGGGTGAAACAGCTGTCTGTAGGTACCTGTGCGAACTTCATCTGTGAAATATAGAATAAAAGGTCTAGTTATGACCATTTTTTAAAAGTCATATCAATAATTTTTGTTTTGCGTCAACTGTTCCGGTATCAGATAGGCCCAAAAAGATAAGCATTTTCTACAAAAAGTTGACTACGGTGTCATATTGATCTCTAAATGAACCAATTAAAAGGCACATTCATCAAAATCTGAGCGGCTAAACGCATGACTGATAGAATTCGTGTTGCCGATTTATCTCTCGGAACGGAAGCAATATTTTAGTGAATATGAACAAGTTGAACTTTGGTTCTAGTAGCGTCACGAACATTGTCCGAGGCAAAATCTTTACAAGATTCTCTTGTACTAAATATCTTCATTTGCTATACATGAAAGAAAACACTCCACTTAATTTACTGTTCACAATTTCTGTCAATTTCAATGGCACCAATATATGTAAATTTTATAGATACTTTGAATTTTACAAAAAATGAATGATATGCTAACTAATGCCATAGAAACCAGTAATTCAATTGCAAATTTCTACTTACACGAAATAGTCCAGATTCAGCGCGAGACGATTATATCTCTAATTCAAACTTCTCTTAATAACATAAACTCAGAATGTTGCAATAAAAACGCCGTATGTTATCAACTCATACCTTAAAATTGCGCTTAAGGACTGTGGTCAATATATTATTGGTTTATAATTTTTAATTCATAATATTCTGCTTCTTGAAAATGTTTTCGTTTACAGCTTTGGCGATATATTAAATAAGATATTTTAATTTGCCTTTTTCTTCGCAGACTTTTCAACTTTCATTTCTTTATTTTATTTCTACTGCTAGATTATAAAACAAAGTTTCCTTTTCTCACCGACTACGGTGGGTTCCAAATCAACAAACACGGCGCGAGGAACGTGTTTTCCCGCTCCAGTTTCGCTGAAAAACGTGTTGAAGGAATCATCTCCTCCGCCGATGGTTTTGTCGCTCGGCATCTGACCATCAGGCTGAATTCCATGCTCCAAGCAGTACAACTCCCAACAAGCATTTCCAATCTGAACTCCGGCTTGGCCAACGTGGACTGAAATACACTCACGCTGAAAGGGTTAAAGCGAAATCAAGAAAAAATCATTCAAATTTCATTGCCGGCCGCTAAACGTTGCAAGGGTGGAGCTTATCCATAGACTGTGAAATAAGAGAGCTCCCTGCTACCTTGAGCCCTACGAAAGTTTAAAAACAAAAGGAAATGCTTTCAAAATGTAACTCGGGTAATTATATAGAAAGTCAGCTTACCATTGTCAGAAATAGTCAGAGATTTTCAGTCTTGCAAATGATGAACAAAGTGAAAGCCTCTCCGCCGATAAGTGACCAACCGAACGAAGAACTTGTACCCCACGGCTGTATGAAGTGGTATGTACTGGGTGGGCTGGCGCTCTTATGTTATTTTCTATATATCTTGAGCCTGCAATACTATTCATGATAAGTGCAAGGATGGCGACATGCGTGGCACGATATTATGTCACCCTTATTAGCCTAATGGTGATCAAAAATCTCCGCCGAATAAAGCGTATTAAATCTAGTAATTAACAGGTGTTTCTCAATAAACTCTCAATAACAGCTTGAAAAACGTCTGCCAAATGATTGGCTGATATCATTAAATTAAATCGCAAAACAACAATGACAAAAACAACAACGTGCATATTTATTAACAGAGAGAGAAAGCGCAGAAAACAGTACTATGGAACTGATATAATTAAGTTATGTGACTACAAAGAGTGAAGTTCTGAATATGTTTGACGAATTAGCCAGAGTAGCAGACTCCTTAAAGCTGGCTGCTAGTTAGTCACAAATAAGGAAACGAAAAGAAAGAGGGAAAGCAATAATTTAAATTAAACTAATGTATCATTGTATGTAGGACAAAAGAGGAATTTAAATAGCAAAACACCGATGAAAATACAATTACATGTAACAATTCAGGTAATTAAAGTGAAACCAGTTTTGAGCTGTGAAAGGGCCTTGATAGTGTTAATGAGGTTCTTTGCAAAAATAAATGATTGATTTTTTTATTTTTTGGCTCAAAGAAAGTGGCCAAAATGGCAATAATAAAGTGATCCTATCAACGGTGGGCTGGATTTGCGTTGTTCCACTGTCACTGTGCGCTTGATTCAAAGAATTTGAATTTTGGTAGCCCCTTGTTTTTAAAAGGCGGAGGAGCTGGGTAGAATTCATTGTTTTTGTCTTTATCATCAAACAATTTCCTGAAACGAGCGATGAAAAGATGTTTAGCATTAAGAATCTGGAAAAGGACAACACTTAGCCAAATGTTTAACGCAAATTTAAGAGTCTTTTTTTTAGCACTAACGCACATTTTCTGACAAAAGAATGGCTCATTCTTTTAAGTGTTTTGTGACGAACACTCACTACCAGAAGAAACAAAGGTCAAACTCCAATTAAGGTTTCTTCGAACTGTAATGAGTTTTATCCCGACACAGGACAAATCTTCTTCGCAAATACCCGATGCCACAGCTACTACGTAGTTTCACCGCACATAAAAAACGAATAAAAAATGATCAGAGAGATCATTCCAGCCTTTCGATTTTTCAGGTTGTTCTCTTATTCTTTCGGTTCTTTTTTTTTATCTTAAGTAATCACACATTCATCTCCATGTAAATTCTCAGTAAGCTTTTATTGGGTTTACAGCACAATTTTTTCTGAGCCTCTCTAATACTCGTCTCCTTCGTCCTCGCCTTCATCACCTACAGAATCCACACCCACTTCCTCGTAATCCTTCTCCAGAGCAGCCAAATCTTCACGAGCCTCAGAGAACTCTCCTTCCTCCATACCCTCACCCACATACCAGTGGACAAAAGCACGCTTGGCATACATCAGATCAAACTTGTGATCCAGACGGGCCCAGGCCTCAGCAATAGCTGTGGTGTTACTCAACATACAAACAGCACGCTGAACCTTGGCCAAGTCACCACCAGGAACAACTGTGGGAGGCTGGTAGTTGATGCCAACCTGAAAAATGAATCAGTTCCAAACGATTTATTCGCCGCTGGTCTGCTTTTTTTTTCGGTTGAAAGATACAATACAACCAAGAAAATCATTGTCAACTAAAATAAACACAACGCGGCATACGACAACGACGACGGCGCGCGTAGATCTTAAACCGATTAGTCCAATGGCAGAGAGGAAAGTCACCGTAAGTCACCTTTAGTACTTTCCACTCTCTTTCACCTTTTTATTTTAGTAGCAAGCGTTTCCGATTCAGTGACTTATTGCGCGAAAGTTGTATCGAGAAATATGGACGTAGGGGGAGGGTGAGGGGAGAAGATAAAAATTTTTCTCCCCTTCTCCTTCCCCTTCATCCCTCTTTTTCGGTCTCGTTACAACGTTCGCAACGAAGTCTCGCAGAACTTGCTACGCAGGCTATTGCTCAGTCGACCTATAAACGTAACTACACAGCGAACCTTGAAGCCAGTAGGGCACCAGTCCACAAACTGAATGGTTCTCTTGGTCTTGATTGTCGCTATAGCGGCATTCACGTCCTTAGGTACTACATCACCACGGAACAGCAGACAGCAAGCCATATATTTGCCGTGACGTGGGTCACATTTCACCATCTGATTGGCTGGCTCAAAACAGGCATTGGTGATTTCAGCAACACTCAACTGTTCATGGTAGGCTTTTTCAGCAGAGATAACTGGAGCATAAGTGGCCAGTGGGAAGTGAATACGTGGATATGGAACCAAGTTGGTCTGAAAAAAAAAAAAACACGCGCAAAATGTTCACGCACTTAAACACTTACTTTTCACGTGTCTTAAACTATGCTTATAGTTTTTTTATACCCTGTACCTGAAACTCAGTCAAGTCAACGTTCAGTGCACCATCAAAGCGCAGTGAAGCAGTAATGGAGGATACGATCTGACCAATCAGACGGTTCAGGTTGGTGTAAGTTGGCCTTTCTATGTCCAAGTTACGACGACAGATGTCATAAATGGCTTCATTATCCACCATAAAGGCACAGTCAGAATGTTCCAAGGTGGTGTGAGTGGTCAGAATAGAGTTGTAAGGTTCAACCACTGCTGTTGCAACCTGAGGTGCTGGGTAGATAGAGAACTCCAGTTTGGATTTCTTGCCATAGTCAACAGACAGACGTTCCATGAGCAGAGATGTAAAGCCAGAACCAGTACCTCCACCAAAAGAGTGGAAAACAAGGAATCCCTGCAAGCCTGTGCATTGGTCTGCCTGTGAGATGAAACAGTTAAAAAACTTGAAACCCATAAAATAGAACCAGAAATAATAAGAAGGCTTGAAGGATAAAACGCCGGCACATTATTTACTCATCAGCTATAGAAAGCGACAGAACCATTAAAAAATGTAATATTGTTATTAGCTGTAAACTCACACGAAGTGAAAGTGGGGCAGAACTTGTGACTATATGAAAAAGAAAAACTTGGGCCTTCTTTCTTTTGGTTGAGAGGCACTGGGTGACATTGCCCGCATCACAGACACTTATTACCACTTGTATGCGGACTGACTGCAATAAAGGCTATGGGTGACCTTAATTCACTGGAAATCTTCGCCTAAGGGCAAAATATTAAACAAAGAGTCTTTGATGATAGGCTGTCGAAGCGTCAACAAAAACCGCATGACTTAGCAACTATGCCGACTTTCGAAGAAGTTAGGGGCAAAATGATATATTGATTTATTATTGTAAAATTATGTTGCATTACATTAACTGTGCGCTTTTTTCTTTAGGTTTTAAATTCATGAACTAAAAAGAAAAATGGTGAACGAGTATGTCATGACTCGTAATATAAATACTTACAAGCTTCCTAATCTTATCCAGAACCTGATCGATCATCTCCTTTCCAACAGTGTAGTGCCCCCGAGCATAGTTGTTAGCGGCATCTTCTTTGCCGGTTATTAACTGTTCTGGGTGAAACAGCTGCCTGTAGGTACCTGTGCGCACCTCATCTGTAACATAAAAAACGTTCTTGCCTTATGATCGCCTCTGCAGGAATAGAGACCTTTAGATTCTAAGACAAGGATGACTGCGAGAACGAGATTTTCTCAACACCAAGTAATGCGCCGTGAGTGAAGCGGCGTTATTTTGGCCGGAAAACGCAACAGCCGCCTTCACTCTAATGCGGATTTTAGCGAGAATGTCGTAGTGACCTAGACTACGAGTAGTCCCCCATTTTTCCACAGGGATAGTAGAGCGAGCGAAACGCGAGCGCGCGTGAAAATCACCCCACGCGAGAAAAGGCGACACCCGCGCGCTCGCGTTTCGCTCGCTCTACTATCCCTGAGGAAAAATGGGGGACTACTCGTAGTCTATAGTGACGGAAACAAGTTATCAAATGTTAGAAGTTTTATCGGTTAGTGATCGGAAAGGGCTTAAACCTCCTTAAATGAAAATAACCGTTTTAACCAAAAGGTACAATAAAAGCTTTCTAAGGGTATCTAGTTTTTGAGAATACGCGAAAAAAACTTAAGTCCAATCTTGTCCTCGTGGTCGTTCTAGTCCTCCAATTTAAAGGTCTCTTATCTCTGCCCAGACGCGAATATCCTGTCGTGGGGGAGGGGAGGGGAGGGGGTGTTGGTCGGGAAGGGTGTTGATAATACATTAGTCTGAAATTGAGCTATCCTGTGACTCAGGGCACACATTCCTAGCCTGCGTGGAAGGCGTTTGAAAGGGATGGGAAAGGGAGTTTTAGGCGCGAGAGAAACGCGAGGGGGCGCCTCTCTAGCGCGTGGTCTCGCGCCCTAATTCCCTTCCTCTTCCCTTTCGAACGCCTGACACGCAGGCTAACATTCCAAGTGAATTTCAATGAATACCCTCTCACGATAAAGGTGGATCACTTTCAAACGCCTTATTTGTCTGATCCACACACAAATTCCCTTTAATGATCATTTTATTAGTTCTCATAAGCTTTTCTCTTTTCTTGGTACGGGGCTGTAAATATACACTCAAATATTAAAACGCATACGAACGGTCGTTTTATGCCAACTTTATTCCCAGGATTTAAAAAAGCGGAGGCCGTGGGAACGACTTTGATTTCATTCATATTCCTCGGAGCGTGGCCATATCCCGCTGGTGTCACTTTTGCGTCCAACGGCGTTGCGACATTGGTCTATTGTTAACCGGGATTGTCTTCCTTTGTCAAGAAGTCTTACTATTTACTTTCCGTAAAGATTGAATCACCACTGTCTACGAGCAAGGAACGACTTCTTTCTAGAATATGAGAGGCAACTGTTCCATAAAAATTAAATGTGTATCTTTCTTAACTAGCATAATGGACCACAGGGCAATAGCAAGTTGTGAATTGCCAAACCGGTAGCATGTTATTGTTGATCCTGACAGGAAAAAGGTCCGCCCTCTAATTGAAAGTTCTTCCTCAATTTATCGTTTCGCGGCAAATAGCGAAACTAAACTAATAGTAATCATTGATCATGGTGCTTTTTTGTCAATACAAAGTATCTAAGATCTACAATTGATTAGTCCTACTCCTGAAATACCCTGAGAAACCATTAATAGATAAACTCAGACGTTAATTAATTCGTCTGGTTGTATGCAGGTTTTTTTGAAGAACCACAAAACTATATAAATAAGAAATTTTCTCCTGGTTTCTTCCGCTGTTAATTCAAGGTATAGCGCTGGATTATACCTTCAAAGTATTCGTTACTGCATAGTTTAACTCACCGACTACAGTAGGTTCTAAATCAACAAAGACAGCGCGAGGAACATGTTTCCCTGCGCCGGTTTCGCTGAAAAACGTGTTGAAGGAATCATCTCCTCCGCCGATGGTTTTGTCGCTCGGCATCTGGCCATCAGGCTGAATTCCATGCTCCAAGCAGTACAACTCCCAACAAGCATTTCCAATTTGAACTCCCGCTTGACCAACATGGATGGAAATACACTCGCGCTGTGAAAGGATTTCAACTTAGTTAAATATAAATAAACCACATTCTTGATATCACTCATCGATCTCTGTTGAAACAGAAAAGAGCTTAGTCGTCGAAAGCGAAAATAGTCATCTCGAGAGATATATGGTACTTGAAAGAAATAATTAATGGGTTTAAATTCCTTGTAGTTGTGAATTTGATCACACAGAAAGTCACTGATACAATTCAAGCTTACCATTGTTAGAGAAAAAAGTAAATGTTCCAATGTCTCTGGTATAAGTTAAAAGCAAAGTGAAAGCCTCTGCGTCGATAAGTAACCCTGGCCGAAGGAAAACCTTATATCCACTGCAACTTTACGTTGTCACACCTACTAAATATCTTTTGTCCTCACTAGATACGTCACGTGCAATCTTGAGCCCTCAGTACTTTAAGACCAGGGAGGTTGTGTAGGCGTGTGTCAACCTCGTTCCCAGGCGAGGGGACAAGTAGGAGATGACCCTGGGAACGAGGTTGGGCGCGTATAAAGGTCTACTTACAGATTTATTTATTATTTACACTATACGTTGATCGAGTACATGTACAATGAGTTGTAGCCTGTTCCAGGCTTTCAGATAGAAGAGCGCGGCAGTCAGTAGGAAGCGAGTTAAATTGTACACGGGGAAAACGGGGGGGGGCGAGAGCGAGAGAACTCGCCCCCCGTTTTCCCGGTGTACAATTTAACTCGCTCCGTATTGACCGCCACGCTCTACTATCTGAACGCCTGGACCAGGCTAAATGAGTTATCACAGTTATGGGCTCCTGGTATAATCTTGCAACCTCGTTCTCAGGGCGCTTTTCACTGGCATCAGCGCCCTGGGGACGAGGTTGATAATCTATCGGCTCCTGCTTTAGGCTAAGCACAGTCTGGGCTAAGCAGAGGAATTCTACATATGGGTGCGGTGTGCGACAACAACCCACTCATGCTATAGCTCAAATAAGGATATATTAAAGCATAATATAGTATCAGCGTATTCAAATATTTATGCAATATTTAGCAATGTGTATCCATTTTGACGGATGGTACTGAATGATGTTGGACAATATTGGAGCAGGTTTGAGTTTCATTTACCGCTGGCTGCAATGAATTATAAAGCCTTCCATTAGGGTCACACTTAAACTGGGAAAGAACACTAATCTTTAACAGCTCAGTCCCCGCATCTTGATCTTCGACTCTCGCGATTTCTGTTACCTAGCAGGAAAGCCTGTCCGGGCCCCAAAGCTAGCCTCCCACGCATGCGTTTAGAGGGGGTCGTATTTCCTCTTACGAGAAACGTCTTCGTGGAAGGCTACCTCAAAGCCGTCGCGCTTGTCTCGAAATGGTCTTTGTTGCCAAAAAAAGGGGTAAAATAAGGTCTGTTTCAACCTGTTCAGCAGACTTGACTGCTTATTTTACTGTGCGATCGAAGAACCATGTCGCCACATGTTGGCCCGGTTTCAAAAGCTTTGTCTCAGCGTAACGCAGCGTCTGGAACGTGAAAGCGTTGGGTGCTGCAAGCACGATTTCAAAAAATTCGAATGCATTTTTGACATTAAAAAAAAAAACATTTGCTCTGCATTGTTATGTCGCCATGACGAAGTACTGTAATGACTGATAATATGTAAGGACAGGAGCTAATGAAGATCGACTTTAAAAGAATCGTCTCTTTGTTTTTTTGATGAACGGGTTTTATGAAGGTGTTAATACTCGGTGGTTGCTATGTAACAAATAAACCTGTAATAAACCGCACAAATTTCTGACAACCGTTATTGCATTTGCTTTCTTCGCTCAACAGACGTTACCTTCTCTTTGAAGAACAAGATCGCAGCTCAAACGTTAACTTTAGATCCCTTTTTGTTGCAATATCATTCCTTTAAATCAAAATGGTAAGTTTAACGTTTCGTTTTCTATATTAACTGAGATAAGTTAATCCACCAAAAGAGATTGAGCTAGTGCGCCGCTAATTTTCATGAACTTTCAACACTTCTAAAATGGCCTTCATGAACATACCTGATAACTCTGCTGTGCTTCGCAGTAATTTTTACATTTCCGATCACCAATGAAAACCACGATTTGACAATTCCTGGACAAGCTTAATTTGGTTTTAGGTTTGGTTTTCTCCTCTTGAGTGAAAAGAATTATTTTGGCGCCTGATTACAGAAAACCCTGATTTGTATTTCAGATATTTTGCCAGAAATTAAGGCGTAGCTGGGCTTAAAAGGAAATCATAGCCAACTACCAAGAACATAGATATGTTTGGTTGAGTTCACAGACAATTCTTTCTCAGTCATTTTGAAATAGAATCCAGTAGAAATATGCTAATTTACATTATGATTTAACAACTGATCCGAATTTTAAACGTGAACTGGTATTAACAGTTCCCTCATCAGGATTCAAATCTCACAATTATTTACCGTTTGAGTAAAAAAAGAAGAAAATGGCTCCTTTCAAACAGTTTCAATGTGGTAGAATTAAAGAGTTCTCTAGAATATACTCAGTTTTGATTTATTTGATGACTTTCACTTCAGCGCGAGTGTATTTCTGTCCACGTTGGTCAAGCCGGAGTTCAAATTGGAAATGCTTGTTGGGAGCTATACTGCTTGGAGCATGGAATTCAGCCTGATGGTCAGATGCCGAGCGACAAAACCATCGGCGGAGGAGATGATTCCTTCAACACTTTCTTCAGTGAAACTGGAGCGGGAAAACATGTTCCTCGCGCTGTGTTTGTTGATTTGGAACCCACAGTTGTTGGTACGCGTGCAGTGTGTCCTCGAAAGTTTCATATGTTTTCTGAAAATACTTTCAAAATTTTAGCCTTAGGTTAATTCAGTGATATTTTGAAATAGAGATCCACTTTAAGAGGTCAAGTGCCTTTCATTGCCACCGAGTTTTTGCTGTTGACAGCTGTTGCTATGGCCGATTTGTTGCGAAACCTAAGCAACAACAGTAAACAAACAGACCGGTGGACCGTTATACACTGTTTCTAAGAACAGCTAATGTGGAAATTTCTCAAGTGATTTTCTTATCTAAGTGAAGAAAACTAATAAACATCCTATAAATTTTTTTCTTACAGATGAGGTGCGCACAGGTACCTACAGACAGCTGTTTCACCCAGAACAGTTGATAACCGGCAAAGAAGACGCCGCTAACAACTATGCTCGCGGGCATTACACTGTTGGAAAGGAGCTCATTGATATTGTTTTGGACAGGATCAGAAAACTGGTTAGTGAACTATAAAGGCCATTTTCCGTCAGTCTCATCACAAGCTGTTGTATGAAAGTTAGTAATCCTTCTCACCTTTGTTCACTTAAACAGGCAGATCAATGCACTGGATTGCAAGGATTCCTTATCTTCCACTCCTTTGGTGGAGGTACTGGTTCTGGTTTTACATCTCTTCTCATGGAGCGTCTGTCTGTTGACTATGGCAAGAAATCTAAATTGGAGTTCTCTATCTACCCAGCACCTCAGATTTCAACAGCAGTGGTTGAACCTTACAACTCCATTCTGACCACTCACACCACCTTGGAACATTCTGACTGTGCCTTTATGGTGGATAATGAAGCCATTTATGACATCTGCCGTCGTAACTTGGACATAGAAAGACCAACTTACACCAACCTGAACCGTCTGATTGGTCAGATCGTATCCTCCATTACTGCTTCACTGCGCTTTGATGGTGCACTGAATGTCGACTTGACTGAATTCCAGGTAGCTATAACTTACGAGTTAAATTATTTCTTAGTTCCTAGTTCTAATAAGTGTTAAAATCATCCATTCAAAAATATTTCTCTGTTTCTGACTGGCTCTTATCTCCGGCTAATTCTTCAGAGCCAGCTGGCACCGATCAAACTTTCAATTATTCCATCACCTGAAGTTTGTCACTGACATCAATGGGAACGAGGTTGCAAAGCATTTTTTCACGACCGGCGTCACGAAAGACAGGGTTTTTGCAAATAATTTCACAGCTATATGTGAAGACGAAATCATTGACCAAAAGTGACAGCAAAAATAAGTAAAAGTACCGCCTGGTAAATGTGAACTGCTTTAGCAGAATCTGTAAGATCAAACCACTTCATAATCTGTGGAGGAAGAAATCACAGAAGGTTGGATGCCTTGATTTAGTAAGAAAGTATTAAAAGTAAAGAGAATAGAGTAAAGAATTCTACTTTTGATGGGACTTGATTTTTAAGTTGTTGCCTTGTTGTAATATATTACAGACTAACTTGGTTCCATATCCACGTATCCACTTTCCACTGGTCACTTATGCTCCGGTTATCTCTGCTGAAAAAGCCTACCATGAACAGTTGACTGTTGCTGAAATCACTAATGCCTGTTTTGAGCCATCCAATCAGATGGTGAAATGTGATCCACGTCATGGCAAATATATGGCTTGCTGTCTGCTGTACCGTGGTGATGTAGTACCTAAGGATGTGAATGCAGCTATAGCGACAATCAAGACCAAGAGAACCATTCAGTTTGTAGACTGGTGCCCAACCGGCTTTAAGGTTGGTAAAGCCGTCTTAATTTTTTTTGAAATCAGTTTGCGTATTCGTATATGTTTCACATCCTAGAAAAAGGCATGTTGTAATCTTTTTTTTCAATCAATTTATTTTTCAGGTGGGCATCAACTACCAGCCTCCCACAGTTGTTCCTGGTGGTGACTTGGCCAAGGTTCAGCGTGCTGTTTGTATGTTGAGTAACACCACAGCTATTGCTGAGGCCTGGGCCCGTCTGGATCACAAGTTTGATCTGATGTATGCCAAGCGTGCTTTTGTCCACTGGTATGTGGGTGAGGGTATGGAGGAAGGAGAGTTCTCTGAGGCTCGTGAAGATTTGGCCGCACTGGAGAAGGATTATGAGGAAGTTGGCGTGGATTCTGTTGATGCTGAGGGTGAAGAGGAAGGAGAAGAATACTAGATGCATTATTCTCACAGCAAAACTGAATGTATGTTTTTCAACTCAATAAAGCAGCGGGTTTATTTAATTCAAATTTGTGTTTATTGACTTTTATTACATTTTTTAATGATCCTCCGCACGTGACGTAATTGCGAAAAATTTGTCAGAAATCTATGGCCAGTTGTATATCCAAATTTTAATCTACCTCCTAGCAACATTAAGTCAAAAGAAAAGTATTTAATGGCTTTTGTAAAATTATTCCCTTATTTCAATCGTCACCATTTGACTGCACATACAAATTCTTTTCAAGAAGTCAGGATTAATTTAGCTCCATGTTTGCATTAATCGTAGGAAAACTTCGTGAACTCACAGAGAACAAGACCAGTTAACATTCTTTCTACTTTATTGAGGAACTGTTTAAGGTCTTTTTTGTAATCTCGTGCCCAGAACTCCATCTGTCTTTGTAAGTAACTGTGGTGTATTTGGCATGTAGCTCAAAGTAGAGAGTTTAAGATACTACAACTGCTACGGCGGTAATTAATACTTCAGCGCGATTATCAAAACCCTCTCAATATTTTTAAAGAAAAATCCCTGGGGTAACCTGCGTCGCAGACGTAATATATCCCCGGTTACTAACATCTACGTAGCAGCGCCAATTTCCTTGTTCTGGGCCCCCAACGGAGTCAATGAATTACCGGAAATGCGTTTCAAATTTTCCTTCAACCTGATTGGCAAATTGACAATGGCTTTTTTCCAGGCCAATCTTGGCACGTACTCAAATCCTGGTACAGAGGTGGAAAGTTGTTGTTTTTAAACCTATTATTTTGTTGAAGTTTTCTTTGCCGTCTTGTCGTTGGATATTCGTAGTCATCACGTGGACGCGCATGCTCGATGGAAAAGCAAACGGTTGCTCGCAGTGGTTTCTTTCCCATCGAAGCGTAGCGTCCGGCCTGGAGAAACCACTGCTCGCAAGGTGGGTTTGCCACCGCCATCTTGAAAATTTACTAAATATCCCGTGTTGCATTTCAACAAAACCTCCCCTAGTCCCTCCCTCGGGCTCCACCCGCTGAAAAAAGAGCCCGAGGACTCTGGGTTTTGGATTTGGAATTGGGAGTGAAGTTTTCGAACTGGGAGTGGAGTTTGAGAATTGGGAGTGAAGTTTTCGAATTTGTAGGCATGTTTTCCAATTTAGAGTGATGTTTTCGAATTCGTAGTGGAGTTTTGGAATTAGGAGTGGTGATTTTAAATTCGGAGTATGTTTGCGAATTCAGAGTGATGTTTTCAAATTGGAAGTGACGTTTTCGAATTCGGAGTGATGTTTTTGAATTCGGAGTGGAGTTTTCGAATTCGGAGTGATGACTTGGAAACTGGAGTATAGATTTGGATTTCGGAGTGAGTTATTAGAATTCGGAGTGTGTTTAAAGATAAGGAGTGTAATTTTTATTTCGGAGTGCACTTGTGGGCCACCGCACATAACCCACTCGGCTACCCTGAAATGGCGCCCTCTCTGCGTGCGGGTTGTTAATTGTTTGATTATTTATAGTTGCATGTCAGACAATGAATTATGCACCGTTAAAGTTTCTAGAATGTAGAATGTGTTCGTCATTTACTTGTTTTTTTTTTTCCTAGTTATTGAGGTGTTTTCAGCAAATTCTAAGTAAAAAGTAGGAGCAAAATCTCTGCATTTCTTGATAACATACGCATAGTTTACAAAACTAGCATAATTTATTGGCATAATTTTAGAAATAAACGAGCACTGCTATAAACAAAACATTAGCCTGATAAGCTCTGCATCATTAGAATATTAATAGCCCTCTACAATGCCATTGATATGTCGTCATGACGACGCACTGCAGGACCAGGGACTGTGAAACAATCCTCTTTTTGTTTCTCTTATTGAACAGATTTTATGATGATGTCAATACTTGGTGGTTGCTATGTGACAAATAAGTTTGTTATAAACCGCACAAGTCTCTGACAACCGTTATTGCATTGGTTTTCTTCGCTTAAGAGACGTCACCTTCTCTTCGAAGAACAAAAAATCACACTTCAAACGCTAACTAAGATCACTTTTCGTGGCAAAATCATCCATTTAAATCAAAATGGTAAGTTTAACGGTCTGTTTTCCATATTTTCTAAGATAACTTAGTCCACCAAAAGAGTTGAGTGCGCTAATTTTCATGAACTTTCGACACTTCTAAAACGGCATTCACCGCTCCGGCACGGATCTGTCTGTTCGAGTGCGTATTACTCTGTGCTTTGCAGTAATTCTCATACCCCCGATCACCGAAAAAAAAAAAATGATTTGACTGTGACTATTCCGGGGCACTTTTAATTTGGTCTTAAGTTTGGTTTTTTTTCCATTTAATATTTAAAAAAATGATTTTGGCGCCTAATTACACAATCAACCCCGATTAGTATTTCCGAGAGAGATATTCTGCTTCAAAAAGTTATAGGGCGCAAGCGTATAACCAAATAACAAAAACTGATGTCTTTAAATGGTTTAACCAGCCATTTGGATAGAATCTAGTAAAATTATACCAATTTACAGCATGGTTTACTAACTGATGCCAGTTTTAAACATGAGCTAGTATGACGGTTCCCTCATCAGGATTCAAATCTCAAAATAATTTGCCGTTCAAGTAAAAAAGGAGAAAATGGCTCCTTATATACAGTTTCAAATATAATAAGTAGAATTAAAGATTTCTCTGAAATACACTCAGTTTTGATTTATTTGATCACCTTCATTTCAGCGTGAATGTATTTCAGTCCACGTTGGTCAAGCCGGTGTTCAAATTGGAAATGCGTGTTGGGAGTTGTACTGCTTGGAGCATGGCATTCAGCCTGATGGCCAGATGCCGAGCGACAAAACCATCGGCGGTGGTGATGATTCCTTCAACACGTTTTTCAGTGAAACTGGAGCGGGAAAACATGTTCCTCGCGCTGTGTTTGTCGATTTAGAACCCACAGTTATTGGTAGGCGTTCGGTGTATTCTTGAAACAGTTGAAAGTTTCGATATTTCTGAATATACTTTAATAGAGCGTTAAATTTTAGTCTCAGTTTGACTTTAATTCTACTCTAAGTGGTCAAGTGACTTTCAAGGCCACCGATCCGAGAATTTTTGCTGTTATGGTACTATGGCCGATTTGTTGCAAACCCTAAGCAACATGAGTAATTATTAGCAAACTTACCGTGGACCGTTATACATCGATGCACTGGTCCCTAAACTCGAGAACAGCTAATGTAAAAATTTCTCCTCGAGTGATTTTCTATCTTTTATCACATCTAAGCGAAGACAACTAATAAACTAAGTCTGCCTGGGAACACAACAGCGTTATGTGCTGACGACTGCAAAACATCTAGAGTGATAAAACTGTTCTTCAGACCAATGTGAGTCAGATCTGGACAATTTTTGTGCCTGGAGTCATGACAGCAAAATCTAACGGACTTTAAATGTAAATTGATCCGTATCACCATGAAAAGTATGCCTCTTTTTTTTTACCTTAAGCTCAATGACAACATTCCAAAAAGAAACTTTTGAATTCTGTGATCTTGGCTTAGTCACCGGTAACAAACTGCCCTGGAATGCTCATGTTGATAAAATATCTAGTAAAGAAAACAAGTTTGTTAGTCTTATTTTAAAAAAGGACTTGCAAAGGTCTGAATGATGTTGCCACTGTAAGAACTCAGCTGTATTGCCCCCTGGTAAGGTCCCAACTTGAGTACTGTCCTATCGTGTGGCACGAAAATTTTGCGGGAATTTATTATTGCGGATGGGTGACTTTTTGTGTTTTGCGGGAACTGAGTTTTGCGATTATGACACATTGGTTTTTCTTGCTGGGAATTAATATTTGCGACTTTCAGAAAGTACCCAGTACACAGCATTGATAATATAATAATAATAATCAACTTTATTTAACGAGGGTAACACGGGGCAGAACTTTAACTGAACAACTAGTGGCCCTTAAAAAAAACCGAAGTGGAGAAAGGTTCAATAAGGTTAGAAAGGAGAGATTACGGCACTCGTATGATGTTTTGTTTTCTTATAAAGTTCTTAATGCAGGGTACATTAATATAGATATGCCTCCTCTTATTCAATTTTACTCAGATTCTGTTAGGTACTCTCTGAGAGGTATAGCCTGAGTATCAGGCCTTCCTACGGGGCAAGGGGAGAGGAGATTTTAGATGGGGGAGGGGGGAGGGGGAGAAGAGAAAGGAAGGCCTGACACAAAACCATTCAGCAAATTCTTTCCTTCACCTCTCTTCCTTTTTCGCTTCCATTTTTCCCCTTTTCCCCAGAAACGCCTGATACTCAGGCTATGAGAGGTAGGGATGATTTTGTACTTAGACGAATTATACTAAGACTGAAACTTACAAATCTAGCTTTTTTGATGGAATGAACGTGCTACAAGTATTTGTAGTTTTGAGAAGGGAGTAGCGGACTTGTTGTCTACTCGATAATCTCTCGAATATTATTATTATTATTATTTTATCTATATAATTCCCTTTTCTTCCATTTTTCTTATTTTTAAAGTGGTCGGACTCACATGGGGGTCTATGAATCTTTTTGTTGACCATCCTTATGGCATTCTTCTTTTCTCTCGTATTTTGTTTCTTGAATGTTTGCATGTAACAGGCCATCAAATTGTAAAAAATAAAGATTCTTTATAATTTTTTCTTACAGATGAGGTTCGGACTGGCACTTACAGACAGCTTTTTCACCCAGAACAGTTGGTAACCGGAAAAGAAGATGCTGCTAACAACTATGCTCGTGGACACTACACTGTTGGAAAGGAGCTCATTGATATTGTTTTGGACAGGATCAGAAAACTGGTCAGTAACTTGCCGAACATTTTTTTTTTCCTTAATGTTCTGTTTCAAAAAAACTCAACAACAACAAGTAGTTCCTTTCGCTCTATTAACAAATTGATCTGTTCTATTCTCACCAGGCAGACCAATGCACTGGCTTGCAAGGATTCCTTATCTTCCACTCCTTTGGTGGAGGTACTGGTTCTGGCTTTACATCTCTTCTCATGGAACGTCTGTCTGTCGACTATGGCAAGAAATCCAAATTGGAGTTTGCTATCTACCCAGCACCTCAGGTTGCAACAGCAGTGGTTGAACCTTACAACTCTATTCTGACCACTCACACCACCTTGGAACATTCTGACTGTGCCTTTATGGTGGATAATGAAGCTATTTACGACATCTGCCGTCGTAACTTGGACATAGAAAGACCAACTTACACCAACCTGAACCGTCTGATTGGTCAGATCGTATCCTCCATTACTGCTTCACTGCGCTTTGATGGTGCACTGAACGTTGACTTGACTGAGTTCCAGGTAACTACATCATGATTTGAATTATTTCTGGCTCCTTAGTGGTGTCTAGTTCTAAAATTTTTTTTTTCATTCAAAATATTGATCCTTTTTGATTGGCTTTTATCCCTTGACTAATTCTTCGCAATCAGCTTGCACCGATCAAAATTGCAATTATTGGGGACGGAGTCAATGAGGGAATAAAAGCAATTTTGCACCATTGACGTTACGAAAGACAGCGGCGAGGTGAAAGGCTTCACAACTATGTGAAGACGAAATAGCCGCATCGTTGACTAAATATGATTTCAAAAATAAGCAAACATATCACTTGGTGGAACTTCAGAGGAAGAAATCACCTCAGATTGGGTGTCTTGATTTAGTGAGCCTGTGTACAGACGCCCCCCCCCCCTCCCCTCAGAAAAAATCGGGGAGAGAGACTCCACGTCTTTTTTTCAGGGCAGGGGGTGTCTGTACATGGGCTATGATTTAGCAACAAAGTAAATGTAAGGCCGGAGAATAGTGTAGAGAATGCGCCTGTTGATAGGACTTAGAGTCTTAAGTTAAGGCTTTTGTCTTTATTTTTTCTAGACCAACTTGGTTCCATATCCACGTATTCACTTCCCACTGGCCACTTACGCTCCAGTTATCTCTGCTGAAAAAGCCTACCATGAACAGCTGAGTGTTGCTGAAATCACTAATGCCTGTTTTGAGCCATCCAATCAGATGGTGAAATGTGATCCACGTCATGGCAAATACATGGCTTGCTGTCTGCTGTACCGTGGTGATGTGGTACCCAAGGATGTGAACGCAGCTATTGCGACAATCAAGACCAAGAGAACCATTCAGTTTGTAGACTGGTGTCCAACCGGCTTTAAGGTTGGTAAAGCCGTCTTAATTGTTTTGAAATCAGTTTGCGTATTCGTATATGTTTCACATCCTAGAAAAAGGCATGTTGTAATCTTTTTTTTCAATCAATTTATTTTTCAGGTGGGCATCAACTACCAGCCTCCCACAGTTGTTCCTGGTGGTGACTTGGCTAAGGTTCAGCGTGCTGTTTGTATGTTGAGTAACACCACAGCTATTGCTGAGGCCTGGGCCCGTCTGGATCACAAGTTTGATCTGATGTATGCCAAGCGTGCTTTTGTCCACTGGTATGTGGGTGAGGGTATGGAGGAAGGAGAGTTCTCTGAGGCTCGTGAAGATTTGGCTGCTCTGGAAAAGGATTATGAGGAAGTTGGTGTGGATTCTGTTGATGCTGAGGGTGAAGAGGAAGGAGAAGAATACTAGATGCATTATTCTTATCTGATATATTGACAGCAAAACTGAATGTATGTGTTTCAACAATAAAGAAGCAGGTGTTTACTTCAAATTTGCATTCGTCACCTTATTGATATTAATTACCTTATTTATGTTAATGATCCTCCGCACATGATGTAATTAGGAAAAAAATTGGCCAGTTGTTTAGATATTTAAGTACTTAGCTGTGTCGTATGGATAGAGCGGAAACGAGTCGAACAGGGTATATCCCATTTTAAATCTACCTACTGTAGGATCATAAAGTTAAAAGAAATGTATTAAAAGGCGTTTTTTCTCAGACGTAGGAAGATAAACAATAGAATGAAGCTTAAGTATGTGCGATTTCGTTGGCTTAATGGTGGAAAGCATAGAGACTACAGTGTATTTGTGTATTTTTGGTTCACGCGACTATAACCCAAAGGTATCCTCTCGCCCCAATCCCCCTCCCTTTTTCCCCTCCTCCAGATCCCCTAGCCTGTTTGACGCCTGCTATGCAGGCTATAATAGTGACCGCTTTCTTATCACGTTTATATTATCCTCTTGACCTTGTTACAACAGTGTACCAATCGTTATGGTTCATCGTGAGTCTTTCAGAGTGTCTTTTGGAAAGGAAACATCTTAGTACATGTATATGGTAACAAAATGGAAAAATCCTGGGGACAAGGTTGACAACATAATTCGTCCATAATCCATTCTTTGCCCTCTGCCATTCCCCTACCCTGGGTGTTAGAGACTTTTATAGCGCCGACGAAGGCCGACACTGAAGATTCCCATCGCTCGCGAGAAAAACCTCTTCTATCCAGGGCACCATTCCGTCGTGTGAGTTTCCACAGGTAACCCAAGCGTTATATAACTGGGTTTGTACGAGATAACACTTAGGGCCTGTTAACATGGAGGTTGGGGACCCCAGTTTGGTGAGGTAACCCGCTTAGATACGCTGGGTGGGGTAACCTGAGTTTCCATATAATCACTCGTTTTAATCACCTCTCCTTGTGAACAGGCCCTTAGCCTACCAAAATAGAGTGAAATGGGTTTAATATCATAAGTGACAAATTACTCCTTAATTTTGGCGGGGAAAAAAATTGGCATGTCGTAATCGTGCAGTGACGGCAAAGAAATGTACAAAAAAGCTGGATGCACGTGCAAAGTAGTAGATAGTTGCCGTAGCTGACGTGACATCGTTAAAAACTCCCTACTAACCTGGGGCATCCACCGACCGAATGTGTCCAAATATACATCTAACCTGAGGTCAGGCCCAATTTTAGCAGCTTTCAAACATTGTCTCTTACGAAGTTAGAGCCTGCTCTCAGTAAGCCTGTTCCAGGCGTTCAGATCGTGGTGACGGCGCAAAAAGATGTGAGCAGAAAAAAAACAGCGAGGGGTGGGGTACTTACTTACTTGGCACCGCACTCTATTATCCAAACTCCTGGAGCAGGCTAGATCGGAGGTTAAAATAAATCAGAAGTGTCTCAATTGGTTTTCTCTGTGCTTAAGAAGCGGATTTCTATTTATGGAGAACTTTGGTTGTCTCGAAAGTTTTTATTAGCTTTTTCTCTCATCATGCAGAAACTATTACCTACCATGAAAAGTCAAAAGTCAAAAGTTCGAGGACATGGAGCCTGAGCAATATCTGCTCCTTCGAACATTTATATATTTTACAGAAAAGAAAAAAGTTGTGGATGCTCCTGACTAACTCACAAGGAGCGAGTGCGACTTTGTACTAGACTAATTTTTCATTTTTTTTCCCAACCCTTGTGGAAAGTTTTTAATTTTTAATTTATTTATTTCATTCATTTTTTTATTTACTTTTTTTTGGTGCAAATTGAATATCAATTACCAAGGAAATACACGTCTTTGATTTATTAGGAATTTGAGTAATTTTAATTTTCAGTGGACAAACACTTTGTACCAAATTATTTCAAGCGTCCTGCATTCTTTTTTCTCCTGCGAGGGCTATAAATGTAATAATTCAAATGACTTGAAATAACTCCAAAGAAAAGGTTCTTATAGGAGCCCGAGAAAACAAACTTCAAAAGCTTCAAATTTCACAAAATGGAATCTTACGAGTTGGTTTTCTCAACTTCTGGAAATTTGAATTTTATTTATTCTCGGCTCCCATAAGAAATTGTCAAGTTTGGTGTTATTACAGATAACTAATTAAATCTGTAGCCCTTGGAAAATGTAAAAAAGAATGCGATATTCTGGTACAAGGTTTTTGTCCACTGAAAATTAAAATTACTCAATTTCCTGGTTCCGTGGAGTGACTGGGAACGATTGCTCTCGAAGGCCAGGCCTCATGGCCCATAGGTCCCAAGGGACCCATTTGATGTGAATAGTTTGACGGTTGCTACGAAACACACCCTAAATGAAACAGCTACAAAAAGGGAACGCGCCCAGATTTGCATGATACTAAGACAACCGTTGCTGGTCTTCGTTCCTCAAAGGCGTCACCTTGAAGAAGAAGACTACTGTTCAATTCCAAAAATTCGACTCATTCCGAGTTTTGTTATCAAGTTAACTCTCTAAATCAAAATGGTAAGTGGAAACGTCTTGACTGAAAGGTGTCTGAGGTAGTTCTGCGATTTTTACCGGATAGATTTTGATCGTTTTCGTGCTGCGGGTGGATTTCGAAATTGCATTCTTCAGTGCACGCGCTCGTAGTATTCAACCGTTCTGTCTCCAGTACATAGAAGAAAATCTGAAAACATGGTACTGTTTCTTTTAACAGAATTCTTGCTAGTTTTGGATCGAAATTTGTGCAATTCATGGGTTTAATCCCGAAGAAAAAGATCGTTCAGACCTTTCGAGAAGTCCGCCATTTTATAATTTGTAACAATTCGCCACGAATCGAACCTTGATTCCAAACTCAGAGACGTTGCCTATCATGCCGTACGCCTTCTTAACCGATGGAAAACGGTAGCTTTGAAGGAAGCAATAACAAGTCGAGTAATCAAAGTTGTCGGTAGTGACGTATTTTAATTAAAATATTCCCTGATTTTTTACAGCGTGAGTGTATTTCTGTCCACGTTGGCCAAGCCGGAGTTCAGATTGGAAATGCTTGTTGGGAGTTGTACTGCTTGGAGCATGGAATTCAGCCTGATGGCCAGATGCCGAGCGACAAAACTATCGGCGGTGGTGATGATTCCTTTAACACATTTTTCAGCGAAACTGGAGCGGGAAAACACGTTCCTCGTGCTGTCTTCGTAGACTTGGAACCCACTGTTGTCGGTAAGAAAATACTTGCTTGAAAACCACATGAAAACTTGACAAGGTCAATTTTTAGTTTAGAAATGTAAATCACGGATTTCATGAGTCTGCTTCTTCTGTGAGTTGAGTTGGTAAAATTCAATTTTTAGTCGCCGATGTTAGAAACAAAGAAATTTCGTAAAGCTAGGCTTTGGTTAATTATTAACGAAAGTTTGCCATTGCGGCCAGCCCGAAAGAAAATTAGTCGAGTTTTGTCCTTTTTTCACTCTGTTTAGTGTTGTAAAACATCCTATTTTGTGGAGTTTTTTCTAAGTAGCACCGTTGTTATAAGACTTGGTAATGTTGTTTGCCTTTTACCCTTAGCAACAGCAGACCGTCCTCGGGATACGACAAAGGAAATGTGTTATTTCTATTGTCTTTACACCAGGCTGTTAAGCAAGACTTAAGAGCCGCTAAGTTTTACTTAACCAAAAATTCGTGTGTGAAGCCCTAAGTAAGATCTCAAGTAGCTTTGCTTTGCATCTCATTAAAGTCGGAAAGTTGAAACGATTCAAGAAAGTTTCAAGCGACTTGAAAACCATCCTTATGACCGACTTAGCTGACTTGCGGTTTTGCGGTTTCTTGAGCTTTGAGAAAGGCGAGACATGTCAATCAATCTCACTTTTGTTGCGTGGGAAAATAACCTCAAGTAAAAAAGAATCGGTAGTGTGTGAAGCTTTATTTTACTTGAAGTAATTAAAATTTACTTGTCTTGAAATATGTCTTAGCTTATTTAGGCTCCAGTGTAAAGACTACCAGTGACTTTCGAACTTAATTGAGTAGTCAATAAAGGAATGGTCCCCAATGTATATAATTTTTTTTGTTACAGATGAGGTTCGGACTGGCACTTACAGACAGCTGTTTCACCCAGAGCAGTTGATAACTGGCAAAGAAGATGCTGCTAACAACTATGCTCGTGGACACTACACTGTTGGAAAGGAGCTCATTGATATTGTTCTGGACAGGATCAGAAAACTGGTCAGTAACTTGCCGAACATTTCTTCAGTTTCATTTATGTTCTGTTAAAAAAAAACAACCACAACAACAAGTAGTTCCTTTCGCTCTATTAACAAATTGATCTGTTCTATTCTCACCAGGCAGACCAATGCACTGGCTTGCAAGGATTCCTTATCTTCCACTCCTTTGGTGGAGGCACGGGTTCTGGCTTTACATCTCTTCTCATGGAACGTCTGTCTGTCGACTATGGCAAGAAATCCAAATTGGAGTTTGCTATCTACCCAGCACCTCAGGTTGCAACAGCAGTGGTTGAACCTTACAACTCCATTCTGACCACTCACACCACCTTGGAACATTCTGACTGTGCCTTTATGGTGGATAATGAAGCTATTTATGACATCTGTCGTCGTAACTTGGACATAGAAAGACCAACTTACACCAACCTGAACCGTCTGATTGGTCAGATCGTATCCTCCATTACTGCTTCACTGCGCTTTGATGGTGCACTGAACGTTGACTTGACTGAGTTCCAGGTAACTACATCATGATTTGAATTATTTCTGGCTCTTTAGTGGTGTCTAGTTCTAAAACATTTTTTCATTCAAAATATTGATCCTTTTTGATTGGCTTTTATCCCTTGACTAATTCTTCACAATCAGCTTGTGCTGATCAAAATTGCAATTATTGGGGACATCAATGAGGGAATAAAAGCAATTTTTCACCATTGACGTTACGAAAGACAGCGGTGTGGTGAAAGACTTCACAACTATGTGAAGACGAAAAAGCCGCATCGTTAACTAAAGGTGATGACAATAATAAGCAAACATATCACTTGGTGGAACTTCAGAGGAAGAAATCACCTCAGATTGGGTGTCTTGATTTGGTGAGCCTGTGTACAGAGCCCCCCCCCTCCCCTCAGAAAAAATCGGGGAGAGAGACTCCACGTCTTTTTTTCAGGGGAGGTGGTGTCTGTACATGGGCTATGATTTAGCAACAAAGTAAATGTAAGGCCGGAGAATAGTGTAGAGAATGCGCCTGCTGATGGGACTTAGAGTCTTAAGTTAAGGCTTTTGTCTTTATTTTTTCTAGACCAACTTGGTTCCATATCCACGTATTCACTTCCCACTGGCCACCTATGCTCCAGTTATCTCTGCTGAAAAAGCCTACCATGAACAGTTGAGTGTTGCTGAAATCACCAATGCCTGTTTTGAGCCATCCAATCAGATGGTGAAATGTGACCCACGTCACGGTAAATACATGGCTTGCTGTCTGCTGTACCGTGGTGATGTGGTACCCAAGGATGTGAATGCAGCTATTGCGACAATCAAGACCAAGAGAACCATTCAGTTTGTAGACTGGTGTCCAACTGGCTTTAAGGTTGGTAAAGCCGTCTTAATTTTTTTAAAATCAGTTTGCGTATTGGTATATGTTTCACATCCGTGACACGGAAGCTGCTCTTAACTGTAACACACCTTAAAACTTAAGCTAGAAAAAGGCATGTAATCAATTTTTTCAATCAATTTATTTTTCAGGTGGGCATCAACTACCAGCCTCCCACAGTTGTTCCTGGTGGTGACTTGGCCAAGGTTCAGCGTGCTGTTTGTATGTTGAGTAACACCACAGCTATTGCTGAGGCCTGGGCCCGTCTGGATCACAAGTTTGATCTGATGTATGCCAAGCGTGCTTTTGTCCACTGGTATGTGGGTGAGGGTATGGAGGAAGGAGAGTTCTCTGAGGCTCGTGAAGATTTGGCAGCTCTGGAGAAGGATTATGAGGAAGTTGGTGTGGATTCTGTTGATGCCGAGGGTGAAGAGGAAGGAGAAGAATACTAGATGCATTATTCTCATCTGATATATTGACAGATGAATACTAAATACAAAGCACTCCTCATGTTTTAAGAAAAAGTCTGGTTGGAATTAAAAGTTCCTGTTGTAATAAAAGCTTGAGTTTACCTCTAACCTTATGTGTGTCTTTGAGTTATGTGTTCATTTTTCTTTTTTTTGTTTGATTCATGTTTAGAGAGGTGAATGTGTCACCTAGCTATTCCCCCTACATTTCATATGACAGTTTCCTATCTTGTAGCCCAAGAAATTAGGTTAAAAACGTACCAAAATACACAACATTGGAGGAAATGTGCTCAGAATATAATGGATAATATACATTACTTTTGATTATCTTTTGTAACTGGTCTGTTTCTAGTGACTAAGTTCCCTAACCAGCTAGCCTTGACCAAATTTGGACGATTTTTGTTGTTTTTTGTTTGCTTGATAGAATCTACACAGTGTCATGATAAGAGAGAGCAAAAAATTTCAATATCGATTTTTCTTTTCCTTGTTTTGACGACCCGAAAACGAGAAATTTCATTTCTGATGGCGTACAATACCATAAAGCGCAACTGAAAGTAGCAAATTTCCCAGTTGTTTCTTTCTTTTGTTTTCAACGAAACAGTGTCCTGAAATGGCGTCACAGTCATTTGGTAACCTGTACTCTAGCCCCTGAGAATCGGTTGCGGTTTTCGTGAAAAGAAGGGTTTGTACTTGTGGGGGCTTCTCAGTCTCGCCGGCTCACAGTTTACCTTTAACCATTTCCAGGCTGCAAGATAAGAAAGCGCATTGAGAAAAGTTGCGCGAAAACCTTGGGCGAGCTGGGGAGAGACGGGAAAGTGGAGCCTGTAAAGGCCGGTTTTCACAATGGTTTTCACTAGCAACGGAGTCGGAGTCGTAATCAGAAGCGTAGAGCTTGTGATCTAGTGAAAACAGCGCGTTCCGATTCCGCTTACGTTCCGCCATGATCTAGTGAGACCCAGATTGTTGGAGTCGGTAGCAGAAGCAGAGGAACCAAACCAATCACGAAGCGTGGGAATGTGCATTGTGATTGGTTTATCCTTCCGATTAACTTCGTCGACATCACAAGCTGTTTTGCAAGCATGACAGGCATTCGAACTGCGAAAATTCCACCATGTCTGATGAATTAAACTCGACAGAAAACCGGCAGAAAACTCTCAGGTATTTTCAGTTTTTAGTGTTGGATTTGCATGTTTGGTACTTTGCTGGTTGTTATAATTCTCATTTAGTTGCTTTGGACCAATGCCGGGAAACCAGTTTTTTATTTGGTGCCGTAAGCACGTGATGGGTAATTTTTTTTTTCGCTTTTATTCTTGCAAGTCTCTTTTTTGCAATCTTGCGTTCTGCACTACTTTGTTCTTGTAGTTGTGCTTGTTTTCCTTGTTGTTTGGTAAATAATGTTCGAACAGTGGTTCATTTTGGTCTAGCATTAGCTAGATAAAATCTTAAGCTTTGTGTCGCCATGTTACGTGACTTTCCTTTTGAAAAGATAAACCCGGCTTGAGCGACGAATTTGGAAGCTTTGCCCAGTGTGGCACGTTGTGCCGCGATATTTATACCGAGGACCAAGATGTCTATCTCTGCGCCTATCAGATGGTGGTTACAAGAGAGAAAAGACGAGATAACGTTTTGGTCGTTTTGGCGTCGCTGTACCAAGCGGTGGCATAAGGAAAAAAATAACACCGGTCGCGTTCCGAGAGAGCGGTGTCACGCTGTGCCACGGGGTGGCGTTAAAAAAAGGAGCGCTCGCGGACCGAGAGTTGTGTCGCTCTGTGCCATGGGGAGTCCCCTTCCCCTCTCTGTTACTTGCGCCATTTTTCGCGCGGTCTTTGACCCTCGTTCCTCGTTGTTTGCTCCTAAACCGCACGGAAACGCTTGCCACGCAGGGGACTGAGAGAGGAGTGTCGCTCTGTGCCACGGCGTGGCGTTAAAAAAAGGATCGGTCGCGGATCACGAGAGCAGTGTCGCTCTGTGGCACAGGGTGACGTTAAGAAAAAAAAAATGATCTCTCGAGGACCGAGAGAGCGGTGTGTCTCTTTCTCTCGATTCGGTATAAATAATGCATTACAAGACTTACCAGGTAGAAAAGAGCGCAAAGCGAAAGGAGAGAGTTGAGTCGAGAAGTCTTTCCTGTTTCAATTAATAAAACGAGGACCGTTCTAGGGACGGATGCGCACAGCTTCGTGCTCCATACAATTGGACAGCGGAAAGTCGTGGTTGAACTGTGCGATAAAGCGGGCTATATCTAGGATACTTATCCAGAGGAAAGGGGCGGAGGAGGCCTGGCTACCGTGATTGCCATGTACGCTTGATCGTTTCGTTGGGTTTATCATCAAAATTAGGCATATAGGCACTATTTTTATGTTTTCTTCTGGTGTCTCTGTGGTCTCGAGGTTGGAGAAGTCCTTGAGCCCGATTACTCGGGCTACGGTGGTCATTTTCGCCGAGCTCAACCTCGTTCCCAGGGTTCTTTCCTACCCGCCCTACGAGCGAGAGAGGGCTGGTAGGAGAGAACCCTGGGAACGAGGTTGCGCTGTGCTCGGGTTTGCAGTCTCTTTTACCTTTTGTCATCTTTTGATGGTTTTCTTCTCGGTGACCGCGCGTCGGAGACGAAACGCCGATATTTGTGCTTTAAACGTTACGGAGAAGGGTAGGCAGATACAGATATGGTTAAAATCTCTCTCTGGATGGAAATCCGAGTCCGGGTAAAATGGCCACAAGTGAAAAGATAACATCTATCGGGCTTATTTCGGCACATATTATCGAGAGATAAGCCCTGTCGGGCCTATTTGCTTATACCTGGGCATAAGGAATAGAGGCGTACCGGCACTGAGTGGGGTCTCCGATAGTCACCTTTTAAGTAACGGTGTTTACTGCCTGTCACTGGTGCATGAGTTAACGATTCATTGAGTTGGGAGCAATCCATGCGTATTTGGGATGGGGTGGTAGAAGTTTTTCGCCCTTTTGTCCACCTCGTGGTTCATCCATTGCGAAACGTGCAGAGGTCATGCAATCCCAGGATAAAACCAGGCATCAGCTGATAACTCATGTCACCTGCAATCTGCGAATAACGCACTCAATAAAAGCCCCCGCAAGGGTTGTAACAGCCTCGCTCTTTCTTCGAAGCTAAAATGAAACAAACTAAGTCCAATAAAGGATAAGGCCAAAACACGGATGGGGTAATGCGGTTGTCAAAGCAGACAGAGAGGTAGATGAAGAATCCAGCACCTAAACATTATACGTGTATGCGCTTGTCTATATGTGCTCATCTTAGCAGAAAAATTTCACTTGGAACCGAAGGACGACTCGACCACGAAAAGGAGACAGCTGCGTAACGGGCATATATGCTCTCACAGGCTCCTAACGTGCCACCTTGTCCTAACGATCTAAGAGCCGAGCTTCGCAGCTTTCTAGGGTATCCGCTAATGTCACCGCCACTCCTAATCTAAGAATTCAATACCCGCACCTTGACACAAGACCATTTCTAAATATTTGATCTGGAAAGCAGAGAAAAATGAGTGCTGAAGTACTCACAAAAGAGCGTAGATTAACGAGACCTTTTAAACCATGTACAAAGTTGCCCTCACAGAATAATTAACTGTATTCGAGAACACTCCACCAAGTTTAAGCGCGATTAAACTTTTCTAAGGGAAACCAACCTCGCATTCAGCAATCAGTAAAGAGAAAGAACAATGCTTGTAGGA